TCCACTGGCCCACTGCACTATTAGGAGAAATGGCTTCTTTTGGAGGGCCCCGTGTGACCGTTAACTATCTCAGAAAAACAATATTTCCTGCGCGGATAGATGAGATGTTTACTGTCCGCATTAGCCCAGCAGAAATGGAGGCGCTAACTAGACATTAGCATGACAGACGGGCTACTTAGATTTTCTATTAGAGATGCGCATAAAGCCAGAGCTCATGAGGGAAAGTGTTCAGCGATGTTCAGTGGTAATACAGTTCTCTTACTGTGATAATATAAAACAATTGTGTAGTGAGAGATGAATAGTTACACAGATTCTAATAAAGAAAAAGTCAACACTGGATTCCACTGAAGATCGGGCATAGCACTGGGAGTGACTATGTTATTTTATTGTGTTACTACTACAGCTGAATGATCAATCACAGTTAGTTGAATCTAATCTGAATAGCAATTTGAATGATCATTCAGACTGCAGGATTTAATGCTCAATATGGATTTTTTTGTGAAATCCGATTTTTTTGCGAGGACTGTTCACATTTCTGATTAAATGCGACTTGTACGTGATCTCCAATGTGAACTTTAAACTCCCCAAAAGTGTCCCGCATGTGCATTGGAGGACACGATGCAAGCATGCTCAGTGTTTATGGACATCGCATAAACATGGACGTAAGCAATGAGCACCTGGAGATTTTCAAGTGCCGTCATACAGGAGCCAGAACATGTATATTTCTTTTAGCAGCGTATCTCCAGGTAGCCTGATTCATCAGCCGGTTTCAAGTCATTTCACTTTGTAGAAACCATCTGACCTCGCAGTGTTAGAATTTGTTTGCTTGACAATAGGTACTTTTTTTTATTTAACCAATCGCTGCTATTTGGTCGTGATGTATGTAACACGCTGCTGTTATATTAAGCTTTTCCCAAATCCCGTAAGAAGAAGGGCAATAACGTCTTTCCCTTTGATGAAATTCACCAAATATTCTCTTTATTTTGACTTTAAATCCTTGATTTCGGGAATCATTGACAACACTGAATATATGACTCTTTGCTGATTGGCTGGTGCCCCATCTCGCACTTTCGAGGTTTTTGCGAACCGTCTAATGTATTTTGATTCCTGACCTACTTGCTGGAGAGAAATGAAATTGAGCGGAGGCAATAGATGGCACCAGCCTGGCTAATCCCCAGGCTTGACTACCCCAAATAAAGACCTTTTTAAGACCACTTAAATGAAAATTAAGACCAACATCGTACCCATTATGTTGGCAAAAAACACCAGGTCCAATTCTGATAATGACCAACCAACTACTATGTCTAGAATCTAAGAGCGGATTGTGGATTAAACATACACTTCTCCATGATCCATCCAACGTCTTGCTCCACTGTACTGATTGTTTACTCGTTCCTGCCAACACCAGAAACCAGAAGTATTGTTTGCGCATACTCCATGTTACATGATTTAACGTTGTTGTTTTCTTTTTCCTCCCTCCATTTAACATCACACTGCAGCCCGGTTGAGTATAAAAAAAAAAAAAAAAAGGCTAATGAAATTTAAGACCTTTGTGAAAAAAAATAAGACTTGGACAACATAATTTAAGACTTTTTAAGGCCTTAATTTAGGAACATGAAATTTAAGACCTTTATAAGACTTTTAAGACCCTGTGGCTACCCTGTTTAAGGAGGAGATTGATAAGGAGAAGGACGAGGTTTGTGGATCAGTAGCAATAACGTCCATAGAAAGGAACGTGTGGGTGTGGAGTCGCAGCCAAGAGCGATGGGATTGATCTGTGCTTCACTGCTTCACTGACACGGAATTCATACACAATTTTCATATGACGAGAAGAACGTTTGTGTATATTTATGACGTGCAGGTCGGATTAATGTGACCTGACTGTTCAGACTGAAGTCGCATGTCAAAAGATCAGATATGTATGGGTTTTTGGAGCACATATCCAAGTGGTCTGGGTCACATTTGAAAAAAATCTGATCTGTGTTGTTCAGACTGTCATTAATAGATCAGATACAGGTCGCACAGGGGTGATAAAAACTGGATTCGGGTCACTTCAGGCTGCAGTCTGAACGAAGCCTAAGAGTCACCATTGGGTCTAAATGGATGAAACCAGCTAACTCTGTAGTTTAAAGGGCCAGATTACACTATTTTCTGACACACAATGTTATAATGTTGTTTCCTGAGTTCTTCTCTCAAACTGAAAACACCTTGTGATGTCATGTGTAATAGACAAAGTGCGCCTATGTGTTTTTAAACTCCATTCACCTTCACTAGAATCATCTGGATGATTTCAGTCCTGGAATTTCTAGTTTCTTCTGAACAAAAGGTAAAAGGTAGCTGATGACTTGAAAACGTCATGATATCACAAGGTTGAACAGAGTATTTTGAGTTTTGGAGATATGGACAGACTAATAATCCAGGGTTACTCAAACATGTGTGAATGAAACAAAATCCAGGTATGTTTTTGATGAGCTTAAATAGTCAAGTTTGCATAATATAGGAGCTTTAAATTGGAATCATTTGTATTTTGTTGTTGTGTTTGTTAGTACTTTCACAACACTGCGTATAGATCCTTACACAACAAATCACAAGAGAATACATACCCGTAAGTATCTGAATATGCTCTAACCCAGCGTGTTCATATATTTGCCAAATCAATGTGTGCAAGTCTTCTCAGCGAGTTTAACCACAACACCTCCTACAAAACCCCACAGCATAACTATCCCTCCTCTTTTTAGCAGTATTCCCCTTCTCCTCTCCTCTCCTATAATTGGCTGTGTACGCTGTCACTGAGCACCGCGCATCAGTTCTGCCAGACTTCAAGCTGCAATTAGCGATGCGCTGTCGTCCATTGATATTCGCATAGATTTCCTCACACGTGGAACAGAGGACTGAGTGAGACACTTAGGAGAAGAAGGAGCCTGGATTTAAAACATGTACTGCCTCATTAAAGACTACATTGTGTAATAAAGACTGGACTCTGGCTGGATTTCAAAGCTCTTCTTACAACATTGAATCCCTAACCAGTTTCAAGTAACTCTAACTTTCGACCTAATGGAGGATAATGAAACGGAAAGTTTTCTCGACTAGTCCATCGTAGCAACAGAAGCAGAGGTGTCCAACTCGTTTTAAGTCATTTGTAGCTTTACTGACCCCTTGTGGCTGGTGGTGGTATTTTGTGTCAGTTGATAGCCATTGTAAAGCCATTGTATGATCCATTTCATAATGTTGTTTTGTTTCCTCATCACAAACATGCCTGGAGTTGTGTTTTGTTTCATTCATACACATTTATACGGAAGCCGAGAGGGGTCACAACAAAGGCAAACGCCTCAACAAATACAAATGCAACAACACAACAAAAAGCCACAACAAACCAAAAAAAGCCACAACGGAAATGACCGCGGGACTCTACTTTCCGACGGACCAATCAAGCGGCAAGTGAAGCAGAAGAACTACAACGTGAAATGAATAATGATAAAACAATAAATTACTTTTACTTAAGTTTCCAACTTCTCCATTCCTTTACTTTTCATGTTGTAGTTCTTCTTCTTCACTTGCCGCTTGATCGGTCCGTCGGAAAGTAGAGTCCCGCGGTCACTTCCGTGGTGACTTTTTAATGTGTTTTTGCGGCATTTGGGTTGTGGCGTTTGTATTTGTTGCGGCGTTTGCATTAAAATAGAGTCCCGCGGTCATTTCCGTTGTGACTTTTTTTGGTGTGTTGTAGCTTTTTGTTGTGTTGTCACATTTGTATTTGTTGCGGCATCTCTCGGCTTCCGTACATTTAACACACAAATCCTGCATATTTAGGCTGAGTTATTCTCTCAAATAAACAAAAAAAACCCCCACTATGTTCCACCTTATGATGTCATGTGATAATACAGGAAGTGCTCCGTTGTGTTTTTATACTTCATACGCCTTCAACAGAATCATCTGGATGAAGAAATGAAGAAAGAAATGCGAAGAAATGTCAATCTTTACTGAACAAACGGTAAAACATGGAAGTTAATTTTTCGAAACTACTGCTTCATGACATCACAAGGTGGAACAAAGCATTCTGGGCTTTGGAGACATGCACAGACTAATAATGCAGGATTACCCAAACATGTGTGAATGAAACAAAACAACTCCAGGTATGTTTCTGAGGAGATAACATTATAACATGGACCTTTAATCTAGAATTCACACCTGTGCCATCGCTTTTAACCAAATGATCTGTGGAAACAAATTTCACATTCCTGGCTTGGTTTTGAGGAAAAATTGTATTCCCAGTGAAGCGAAATTATACCATTAAAATGTAATATATTTCAGCAAATTATCGACTCAGAAATAGATGCGAACACAGCAAGTGTCTCGGTATATTCAGAAATTCAGAAGCTTGACACATTTTGGTTCTTATTTTGACACATATATCCAATTTACAAATCCAAAAATCCAAACCTAGTAGATAATTTCATAATGAGCATTAATGAGTGTTTTGACAGCTACAATTTGTGAAAAGTGTGAATGTATTACAGACTGAGTTATAACACTATTAGCTTAAACAGGCTATGTGAATAATGATTTTAAAATATAAAAATGGCATAGGCATTTGCATAAAACTCTGACAAACCAAGCGAAAAGTAGTAGCACTATCTCATTAATATTAAAGGTGCATTATGTAACTTTCGGGTGGAAGGCCTGCCAACTGCTTTTCTCCATGGAAAAATGAAATGGTTCACAGTATGGCATTAAACCTTTCTATCATCATGGAGACCAAACCAGGCCAAGTTACAGGTCAGATCTGCGGAGAGACAATGCCAATCACAGAATCAGAGTCAGAATGCCGTTTTTTTGAAGTATTTTGAGTTATAAAACCACCTGTAATTGACTAAATGTAAGGTAGAGCTGTTTAATGTCATACTGTGGAACATTCAAGGCAGAGCAATGAAACAAAAGGTGACAGACCCCCAACCGAAAAGTTACAACAATACAACTTTAAAGGAGTATTGTTTTTTTCGTACCAGTCTCCAGCTTGGTTCCTTTGGTGCAGGCCACAATAGCTCCCATACTGGGCTGAGAGGTCATCCCTGCCATGGAGTCCACCTGAGAAAGAGACAAAAAGTTACAAACAAAGAAAATAGAAAATAACCCTTGGACCAATTTAAAGATGACAACTTCTCACCAACAACACCCTGTAGTTTTAGAAATGATCTGACCCAGTTGTTGAGACTTCACAATTTGTCAAACTCAGTATTTTCTGTCATTTGCTTTCAACAAAACTACAAAGTCATCTTAAAGGGTACTGTATGCAACTTTTCAGGTGGAAGGTTACTGAGATATGATCCGCAGTATGGCATTAAACCCCATGGAGACGAGCTGGCAACTCTACCAATCCAATCTGCAAGTCAGCTCTGTGGAGAGGCGAGACCGCTCACAGTAAGAATGCATGTTTTTCATGCAGTCGTGTAAGATAAGACACGTTTAATGCCATAATGCGGAACACTTCAGGCAAAGCAACATTTCCATAGAGAAAAGCAGTGCCGTATCCTCCACCAGAAATGTTACATAGTGATCCTTTAATACCCAATACTACAACTAACAGATACCATACTGAGTAGATCATATTTTCACCTCTTTAACGCCACTGTTGACTTATTTCACTTTTGTACAGCTTGGTGGCATAAAGGTTAGCACTCCTGCCTAACAGTGAGAAGGTTTTGGGTTTGATTCCTAGACTGGTTTAGACCTTAGGGCTTGCATGTTCTACCTGTGTCAGTGTGAATTTCTTGTAGGGTGACACAGAACCATTATTGTGGGCTATATCTCAATTATTTTTTTGTATTTTTTGGTATCCTTTACTTTATCATTTGGTAATGGTACTACAAGTTTGGTGCCACCTAATGCCTCCGCTCTATTTCATTTCTCTCCAGTGACTAGGTCAAGAATCAGAATACACTAGATGGTTCTTAAAAACCCCGGAAGTGAGAGTTCGGGCACCAGTCAATCAGCGAAAAGCCATATTTTCTGTGTTGGCAACAATTCCCGAGATCGAGGATTTAAAGCCGGAACAAAGAGAATGTTTGGTGAATTTTATCAAGGGGAAAGACGTTATTGCCCTTCTTCCTACGGGATTTAGGAAAAGCTTAATATACCAGTTAGCCCCGTTAGCGGCGCATTACATACGTCACGACCAAATAGCAGCAATTGGTTAAATGAAAAAAGTACCCGCCTACCGTAGAGCAAACAAATTCTAATGCTGCGAGGTCAGACGGTTTCTATGAAGTGAAACCGGCTGATGAATCAGGCTAACAAGTTTGTTCAGTTGACATATTCTATGTTTTAATGGTTAAAATAAGTTAGTAGTGGTGTAAAAAACAAAAAAATAATGTTGTTAAAATGTTCTTAAAAGGAGTGATATATTGCAGAATATGATGTGTAATATATTGATTATCATATGTATCGTCATATCAAAATAATATCATATAGTGATCCATGTATTATGTATCGTGCTGAATTGTGAAGGAGCTTGCGATTCCCAGGCCTGGTTTAATTTCCACCTTTCCAGTTTCCCCCAATACAAATAAAGGGATCCATCAGAAAAACTCAATCAGTGAAGACCAGTCCTGCTTGTATAAGAATTAAATAAATAAATAAATAAAATATCGGTACATCCCGTTTTATCAGCTCCCCAAAGTAGTAAACAGACTCCCTGAGGTCTCATCTGCATGTTTTTATATAGGTATTGATATCTGACTCCACAGTATCGATAGCACATCAAAGCAGAAGGTAAAATGATATATGGCCAAAAATCAATAGTTAGTTCCACATAGGTGCACAATATTAGCATTTATCGAGCGAGGTGTCAAAAGTCCTGAGGAAGTGTTTAATTTTTCATTCAAAGGAAAAAAACTACTGAGTATATAAACCCGGGCAGTGGAGTGTGGTACAGTGTCAGTATTTTTCTTGGCGAGGGGCACAAAAGTTAAATTGTGGTTTAAACAGGTGGATGGGCCCTTATTTGTTTGGGTACAGTGTGAATGAAAAACTCAACAGCAGCCAATTGTTTTAATGAAAGGGTGCTGGCTGGAGGCACGCATGAGTGAGTATGGCGAGGAGACGGTTCCAGCCGCAGTCTTCAGTTTGAGAGACATTTTACTAAAAGGGAAGAGGAGGAAATGATGTTGGTCCATGCTGTTTGTGTCACTGCTAAAAGTATCAGGGCTTACGAGTCAGTCCAAAGGTTAAGACTGGGGGGATTTTAATACTTTAATAATAAAACCGCAAGGGAAATGACTTGCAAAGCTGCTATTTAAAAGAATAACTACAGAAAATCCAAAAATGTGTTTCTGTATTTTCATTCCAAGCAAGTAAATTAAACATGCAGGTTAATGTAAGTTAAAGAAAATGCCCCTGATTTTTACTTAAAAACATAAAAACAGAACTACTTCATTCCAAACCTTAAGCATTCCTTAGACCAGAGGTGTCAAACATACGGCCCAGGGGCCAGATTCGGCCCTCCAAGACCTTTAATCTGGCCCTAGGCTGATTTTCTACTCAAATATTTGAATTATAATTTCTATTAAAATATTGTTAATTTGCTGCGGTGTTTATCATAGCAGCGTCTCCAGAGCCTCTGTACGTGGCCCCTCCCACCAGAGCAGCACAAATGAAGACTTGGCTCTTTCCAAACGCTCTTAAAGGACAATTGTTTTGACTGTTGACCGTGACACCCTCATCAGCAAAATGTCAAAAATGAGAAAAGTGGACGCCGAGTGCAGGATTTTCCAAGAAAAATGAAATTATTCCTATTTGTATACAAGTTAATGTTAAAACATTGTGTTGAAATTGTATTTTTCTTAAAGTTTCAGGTTGTTCATAATATTATAATATTTTGTAAAAGAAAGAGTTCATCAACTAAAAAAAATTTCTGTAATAGATTTGCGTTTCTCTGCACAAATATTTGAACGTATTGTTGTTTTTGGGGTATATGTGACATGAGTTTTCTGATCCGGCCCCTTTGAGATCAAAGTAGGTTGGATACGGTCCCCGGACCAAAATGAATCTGACACCCCTGACTTAGACTTTATGTATAAATTTCTACTTTCTATTGAAAAAAAAAAACATCACCCCCATGACTGTAGCTGCTGCTGTGAGCCTTGTCAATTTGGTCTTAACCTACATAATCTGCATATTAACCTACATAATCTGTGTTTTTATTTCACAACTTTGTCCATAAATCAAGATATGAACTTTAATAACAGATTAATGAGCTGAACTCTTTCACCAAAGTCGCTCCCTTTAGTGTTAACAGCAGGTTTGATTGACAGTGTTGCTAAGCACCTCTGCGGAGATCCAGATAATTCCAAAACAATTCAGGGAAAGCCCGAATGCGTCCTATTTGTGTAATTTTTCCAGTATTGATCCTTGCTAAAATGAGTTTGGTAAGTATCTGGATATTGATTTTTTTTTGACAACTGTAAAAAAGAAGATGGAAATTGAAAGGGGGAAAAAAGTACTAATACTTCTAATGCAATGCAGAGAAAGACATTTTACAGTAAAATGATCCAGTTTGCCCTTGTCCGATAAAGAGCAGTAAAGCAGGGGGCTATTCTGGTGAAGTGATTCAAAATTATGTTCAAGTGACCTAAATATGGCTGCTTTTATGTGTCCAGGGAGCAGCCATCATGTACCCAAACTACCCGTTAAGAGCATCCCCGGGTCAAAACGCTTCTGTTTTTAGCTGTGCATACGACTGAGAGGTTTTTATTCTGCGCTCTTCTCTTTTAATGTTCGTTTTATGATGATTATTTGTGTTCTCATCTGTTTGTATTGTGATTTTAATGTCCTCCTTATTCTGTAACGCACTTTCAATTACTTTGTGTATGGCTTGTGCTATACAAATAAACTTGCCTTGCCTTGCTATTCGAGCATGTTCTGGCTTTGTGGGAGATCTCTTCCAGGAAATGCACTGTTAGCATGCTAGTTCTTGTTAGCATGACCATGATAGCAAAAACTATAAACTCATCATGATGCATTATAACCTGGTTTCTACAAAGTGAAACCGTCTGACCTCGCAGTGTTAGAATTTGTTCGCTCGACGGAAGGCGGGTACTTTTTTTGTTTAACCAATCGCTGTTATTTGGTCATGATGTATGTAATGCGTCGCTAACAGGGCTAACAGGTATATTAAGCTTTTCCCAAATTCCATACGAAGAAGGGCAATAATGTCTTTCCCCTTGATAAAATTCACCAAAAAACATTCTCTTTGTTCTAGCTTTAAATCCTCGATCTCGGGAATCGTTATCAACACAGAATATATGGCTCTTCGCTGATTGGCTGGTGCTTGAACTTGCACTTCCGGGGTTTTTGCGAACCGTCTAGTGTATTCTGATTCCTGAATAGTCGCTGGAGAGAAATGAAATTCAGAGGAGGCACTAGGTGGCGCCAGACTAGACAGATGCATTAGGAAAATGAGGAAAAATGTAGGACCGATGCAAACTATTCTGAAGCTGTTTTTAAGAGCGCGCATCTGAGCAAAAATCAGCAAAATAACACAAGAAACTCCTCTGGTGTATTCACACTGAACACAAGTGGATGATACTTGGATCAACAGCCCTTTTACTTGTATTAAAACTACTACTCATTTATGGAGGAATCAAAGGAAGAAATAAATCATAAATCAAAATCAGTGCAGACTACTGAGCTTTTGTCTTACTAGTGAAATAGAGTTTGATAATGTTCATGTCATGTCAACATTTGCACTTACAGCGACATCCACTACATCCGCCCCGGCCTCGGCACACGCCAACATGGCCGCCACGCCCGCCCCGGCCGTGTCGTGGGTGTGCACGTGGATGGGCACGTCGGGGAAGCGGTCTCTCAGAGCACCCACCAGGATCTTACTGCCCTCGGGCTTCAGCAGACCTGCCATGTCCTGTAAACAAAACAAAAGAAACACGAGTCCATACGAGTGTTCATGAGGTGTTATTCTTCGGCTTCCTTAGAGAATTTCTCACACTAGGATATGTTCACACTTTCTCTCCTGTTTGGGCCCAGTTTGAGTCTTGATAAACCTTCTTCTAGTCTTTGTTTAGTCCAATTTTACAGCCACTAAAACCATGCTGACAGTACAATTATTTACTTAATACAACCTGATTAATACATAGACAGAACTAAAACAAATTTGTACTTTGCACTGAGATATGTACGCAATGTAAAGTGCAGAATAAATCAAGCATATTATTACTGAACAAGAGCCTTTTTATATGTACTTTTATGATTAAGCTGACTAAGCACTTACTAGTATGTATGCTCTGTTTACTCTACACAAAGCACTGCCTATTAAATTATAGCACTTGTATATAAATGTGAATAATTGCAAAGAAGATCCAATTTTAGGAATTCAAAATACATCTGGTTTACTTGATTGTCCCCATGTCAGAACTGTAATATTTTCTGTTTGAGCTTTCTGTCTGGCTTCTCAAACGCAACAATTACCCGCAGAAAAATACTTATTATACAAAGCGAACATTTTTATGTCTTCTTCACATTTCAAAAGACTTTAAGTGACTAGTATTCGTGTACGAGCACTACAAATTAAACTCTAGGCTTTATCTTTAATCACAATATTCTTTAATCACAATATGTGTTTGGTGTTGTCTGCTTCCTGGCTGGGCGAATCACATTTTCATTTTGGAAATAGACCGGTAAACTTCGTTAAACAAGATTAATTTGGGAGCACCTGCCTTCACCCTCATTAGTGCACAGATACACAGCACAGGCCCGAGGCAGGAAACTGGCATCAACCACAAAAGTACCGGTAATTCCGCGGATCCGTCCAACCGAAAAAGAAAACAAGACCTAGAAAGGGGCTGTTAACAGACACTAGCACACTAAAACAAAAAGACTACATTTACTAAACTACTATTATCATTTTCAAAGGGCAACGGCACCATTTTGTATCGTAAATTGGCCATCAGTGAATCCAAAACAAGCTGGGATAGATTTGACTCATCTTCGTAGCTTCAATAACAATAATTCCGCTTGTTAATAATTTTATAGCTCAACAGTGAGAAACAATTTACTTAAGATTGATAACATCTTCATTAGCATAACAAAACAATGGCTGCCGGTTGCCTCGCTGTGTCTCGCTCCTGAGCTGGAGATTAATTGATATTAGCAGAAATTACGGGGCGCTCGCTCAGATCGACGTCGCCGGTGTCTTTTTAGAGATCCGTCCCTGTGTGAAGTCGCTGCGCCCTGCTCAAAGCTAACCTCATTAGCCACGACGGAGCTTTTATGTGATTAGTGAGTTAGGATTCGGCATTGGGAAATACTCGGTCACGCTCCAATACAGAAGTTCATTCGCCGCTATCTGTCAATTCATTTAGATAAGAAGCTTAGAGAACTTGTTCCAAAAGGTGGGAGCGTATCAACAATTAAAACACGCAAGGGTGTGCTGCAGAATCAAAATGCAAATCAAAGCTATTGTCTGTGTGTATCGACAGAAAATGGCTTAATTAATGATGTTATAATGTGTGAGCTAATGAATAATGCTGATTTGTCAGGTGAGAAAACCCTGACAGAGGAGGTGAGGGAGGTTATGGAAAACATATTTGCTTTGTGTTCAGGAATCAAGGCAATGACTGTTAATTATTGATACTTCGCAGTGACATCGTGCTGGGGGTGTTCTACGTGTAGGCTACGTGTATTGGCGTAATGTTCTCCGGTTACCTTGGAGACACAATGCATACACAGCCTAATAACTTTAAAGATCGTTTGAAAGCTTGAGAAAAATAAGTACAGAATGGATTTAAACATTTTCAGGAGCTTGTGATCAGTATGAGCCGTTCATGATCCTGTTTAGGTATTTGTATTTCATTTTCAACAAAAAAGTTGAGTGACTAACTGAAAAACTGCTTGTGACTGTAATGTTATGTAAGAGGGACTTATATAAGTTTACCTCTTATAGTTCAAGATAAATCAGCTCTTTCTGGTCAGATTGTGTTAAAATAAAGCTCAGATTAAAGTCTAACAAGGCTTCAGACGGAGCGGTGCCTTCAGTTAGCGCCACACCCCCATCGAATGTTCATGATATCAGCTTCAAAGCATCAATCCTGCTTTGTTTTACTGGCTTAAAGTAGTTTAATAGTTTTAATAATATTGATTATCGCAATATTTCCGTGTAGAAATATATTGTGCTTTGAAATTTGTTTCCTAGGCCTAGTACAAGTTACTGTCAGCAAGTAAACACAGAGCTGGATTATTAGAACATTTGGGGATAATTACATGATACACAGCTATTATTTATTTCAGTCAGACTGACTTCACTGCAAACATAGAACTATAATAAAATCTGGAAAGTGAACCCAGCTTTGTATCGTTTTCAATGGTCTGTACTCAACGCCGCATGGGCCCAAAAAATGTTTTCTCTTCCGCATTTACTTCCTCAATAGAGGCTAGTGACTCCCACCCATGTGACGTCTGTAAACTGTGCACTGTGTGCAGTGTAAAAAGTTTGGACCAAACAGAGCGAGAGCTGCTAGACTGAAGTTAGCACAGGCTCAGAGCAGGACTAGGCTAATTTTTAAAAAGATAACTTTTAGGCGCTTTGAGGATTTCAAATTTTTTACAAGTTTATATTGTGAAAATAGAAAAGAATCCCTACAAAATTTGAACTTTGTGAAAGTTGTGAATGCCCTGTCAGGAGAACATGGGCAGTTTGAATTCCCCCAAAAGATACATTGTGCTTCTATGGGAGAATTCTTTCTGGGCCCAAGCTCCTAGGAGCTGTAGTACCTGGAGCGACCACTAGTCTGTCTCGAGCCGGGACAGAGGGGGAACACTTTATCCAGTTTTTATTATAGATCCATGACTGCAAAGCATCTTGCTGTCAGCATCATGATTCAAAAAGCTCAAATAGCTGTGCTGCAAATTTCACATTCAAACATGAAGCACTTCACACTGCTTCCATTAGAGGGCGGCATTCATACAAGCATTTTTGCATTCATTCTTATTTTATCTTAATCTTTTTATCTGTAATGTTCCATGGTACAGTATTAAACGTATCCATCTGGCATATTTTATATTGAAAAACACTACGATCTAGGGGGCTTCTTCACCTTAACTAGACTTGTGGTATCGCCTGCTTGTCTCCATGGAGACAGATGTGTTTAAAGCCATACTATAGAACAGAGCTGGCCAATTATTTTTTCCATGGGGCTCCTATGAGAAATAAAAAATACTGTGGAGGGCTGGACCAAAATTCTTGACTCAATTCTGCCTAATATTAATAGTAATTGTAAGACTGGCAATGAAAAAGTGAGGCTGCCTTACAAAAAAACATTGCCGCTTTAGTCCATGCATAAGGTAAAATTATAAAATATGCCAAGGTCTGCTATTGAATATTCCACTCACCTTAATGCAGAGGATGTGCGTCCCAGCCTTGACCAGCTCGTCGGCCAGTTTCAGGTAGTAGTCCAGCGAGTACTTCTGCCTCATGGGATCAGCCACATCACCGGTGTAGGAGATCGCAGCCTCGACAACGCCCCCTGCTGCCCCGGCTGCCTCCATGCCCAGCAGCATGTTGGGCACGTAGTTCAGGGAGTCAAACACCCTGAAAATGTCCATGCCATTCTCCTTCGCCACTTCACAAAACCTGCCAAACACAAACACAAGATCTCCGTCAGTCTGCGGCGTTCAACAGCGTTCACAGTTTCATTGCACACGGGCACATCTCATCTACATAATGAGTTTCTCTCTCTGTATTCTGAGCGTAATATTGCACATTTGGGTCAGGATAAGCCGTTTATATCCACCTTCATATCACAAGTCATAAATATCTCTACACCTGTGTAAATATAATATTCAGACCATTTCCATAAAAAAGTCTGGCAGCTTACACAGCCTCCAGGAGAACAAATGACACACACACTGCTAGAGCTAAATCCTGTCTATTATTACCTTGGCTTCGACGGCTTAATCACCTTTTTCATAAACTAGGGATATGAGTGCGCCGTATGTTCGCTAAAACGCATTCTTCACATACACGGAGAGCCCTTTGTTTTGTAGAGTAAACAGATAAGGCTAATGTAGAGCCACCGGAGGATTAGAGGCTACATGACTGCACCTTATTCAGTTAGAATACAAAGTGGCTGAATTATGTAAACATGTGTCAAATGTTTCTCTATGACTTATTAAAGAACAAAGTCATCAGTTTTGGATTGTATGCAGAATGCTAGAATTCTGTGAAATATTTAATTATTATTTTGCTTCACAAAACAACTAATTATTGGTTGTGGATAAGTTATAGTTTTATGAAAAGCTTTTTGATTGAATGGAAAGCGAATTTACTTACGGACAACAAACAGGCTTGAGCACAGGTTCAGACGCAGTGTGCATTTGAATATAGTTATTTAAACAACAATTTTACACTCCAAAGAAAATATCTTTACAATAGGCTGAATAATTTACCATTGCGATGTGTTTGAAAGTAGAATTAAATCATTATAAAACCAGTATTACTATTTAACAAGGATGCATCGAATATGTTTGGCAACCGAATATATTTGGCAATCGAATATGTTTGGCTGAATATTGCAGAAAAAAAGCCACATTCAGCTTTCGGCGGAGTGAGTTAAAAGAAAGGCCGAACAGTAGCATGTGCCGCAATGCCGCAATCAAACAACGTGCAGTGACGCGGTGATCTGGCGCCTTCTTTAAAATGTCAGCAGTGTGTAAATATTTTAAAGTGTCTGAGAGCGAGTAAAGAACTGCAATTTGCAATGAATTTTACACCAAAATATCTATCTCCTTTCTTTTAAAAACATGTCTAAAAATGTTTTCTAGACTACTTATGCAATATTTAAAAAATTGTGAAAAACTTTACAACTGCATTTGATATTCAGTGTCGGGATTCAGCCAAGTGTTTAATTTTGATTCAGTTTCGGACCCACATTTTCATTTCGGTGCATCCCTAATTAAAGGACTGACATTATGTTATTTTCTGATCTATGTTATAATGTTGTTTCCTCATCAATAACACATTTGGAGTTGTGTTTTGTCTCTTTCACACACACAATTTTTAACACACCAACCCTGCATATTTAGGCTGAGTTCTTTTCTCAAACAGAAAAGCCTGAAAGCTCACAAGAGTCAATTTAGCGTAATATAAGACCTTTAAAAAGTTTATAGTGGTTGACTGGAACACATTCACCAGTTTACTATATCAATTTTAGTAGTGCGATGTTTTGTGTTTTTGTAAAAGTGTATAACCTGTGTCCTCACTTAAAGTTGAGGATATGCACTTTCTGAGAAAAAGGTGTGCCACCTGCTTGTCTCAGTGGAGATGGCATTACCTTGTCTGAAATATTTAGTTTAATTTATTTATTTTATGAGACTGGGACAGTGCACAATCAACATTAACCTTAACAGGAGAGATGCTTTGTACCAGGTTGTAGCGCCAGTGCTCATTTTCACCTGTAGTCCCTGTGCAGCCTCATGTTCTAGTTCATAAAATCAAACATACAAAGAGAATGTCTTTATAATGTCCGGAGCATCAGAACAATTCTGTGACATCATTCACACCCATTTCTCTCAGCATCTTAAAAAAACATAATCCTTATCAAATTATTCGTTCACTCCAGAAGAGAGTCCTGCATTAGTCCATTTTTGGAGACCTGCACCCGCACAGTACAGCACCGCACCCGGCCATTAACCCAAATACGAATTCACAGACTCGACTGCTATCACTTCACAGGCATGATTTACTGAGCAGAAGAAACATTGATTGAGATGCCAGACTTTTGCGCCGCACACGCCCGGAACTGAGCCAAGACTAAACAGGACTCACTGTCGGGACGGGCCTGCATTCTCGGAGGTGCAAAGCTCTGCGCTGCACGGAGGTAAGCACAGCCGTTGCCCGATCGTGCTTTGCAGACACCCTGCTCTGCGGGCTCTGGGTTTTCTCTCTTAAGTCCAAGATTAGTCCTGGTGTAGTCCTGGTTTAGTCCTGATTTAGTTCTGACCCGCCTGTGGTTAATCATTAAACGCCTGCATACCCGCCCGTAAAATTCCAGAACGTAAAATCCTGCCCATTTCAGCAACTATTTGCCCGTACTGCGGACACCCAACAGCAGGACTCTGCTCCAGAACATCACACTATCTCCAGACACTCATCAGTCCACATAATGGGTGCAGGTTTGGTTTGAGTGGAGCCACTGTTTCCCCAGGTGTGAGAAAGTGCCATAGTTTGTTCATGTGATCAGTTCTGTTGGTAACATGTTCCACTGACGGACAGCCGCACGTGAAAATGCTGAGTTTCCAAATGCCTTCCTGCATTTGAGGATCCTGCACTCGGGAGGTGGTTTCAGAGCTCAGAGAAACAAACTGTTATAGCGGAGGAGCAGTAACAGAAATGTTTCACATTGTGGCATTAAACTAACAAATCTACATTCATTCAATTATGGGTGTTTTTATTACTCAAAGACCATGCACACCTATTAGTCGGCCATCATCTACACAGATCTGACCGGTATCTTGATCTGGTTTGCATCTCCTGCTTGTTTCCATGGTGAGTGTAAAGTTTAATATCATACTGTGAAACACTCCAAGCAAAGCACTTACAGTAAATCATCCTGGAGACATACATGTAGGCGGACCCTCCAGCAATAAAGTTACACAGTGCAACTTTTAAGCCCCAAGCTCGATTTTGTTAATGTTTTTCTGTCAAACGCGCCCACTTAGCAGCCACACCAGCCTTCACATCCCCCGGGACACTGAGGTAAGCTTGATATATCCAGGCTACTGTACTGTGACCTGTGAAATCCCGTTTAAATCAATTATACAAAATGAAATTAGGCCCTGATTTGATTCTGTTAATGAAGATGCTGGAGCCACTTTGCCGCGGGCCGCTGCACCGCCAAATATGTCGAGGGTGAGAGAGAGAGCGGGAGATGGAGGGAGAGATAGAAGGAGATAGAGAGGAGGAGGAGGAGGAGAGAGGGAGCGAGGGAGGGGAGGATGAGCAGTGGGCCGGGCGAAAACAGATCAAAGCCATTAATCACAATCGTGTGCAAATTTCCAGTGGCACTCCCCCCCTACGGGACACTCGCGATGGGACGAGAGACACCACATCGAGGGAAAAGGAGTAAACGGAAGGGAGTGAAAATGGATGTAAAAAGCGGGTGAGATGAATGGAGACGCACAAAGATCAAGCAAAACATTATGACTATGCTTCAACGTCATAACACAGGCTTGTCCAATATAATTCATGTATTATAAGAGATGTGATGGCTCATATCTGTTTATAGCGTTCCCATCCAGTGTTGGGAAGGTCACTTTTAAAATGTATTCCCCTACAGATTACAGATTACACACATCAAAATGTAGTTTGTAACGGGATCCATTAAATTACTTAAAGTGAGTAACGTAATCTGAATACTTTGGATTACTTGATTTGCTGTAGAGAAGCAAAGACGAGGAAAGCTTCACATAAGATGCTTTGTAAAGAAAATGAAAAGGCAGAGTCTTTACTTAACCGTATTAAAAATGTTATTGATAGAAGACGAGGAGACACGATCCGTGCAGCATGGTTTAGTCCTGTTAAATCCTGTTTTAGACATGGTTTAGAATTGATTTAGTCCTTGTTTACACCTGGTTTTAGTCCTGTTTTAGTCCTGGTTTAGTCCTGGTTTAGTCCTGGGTTTAGACCTAGTTTAGACCTAGTTTAGACCTAGTTTTAGACCTGGGTTTAGACCTGGTTTAGTGTCCAGCAATGAGTGGAATTACCGCGTGGAAAAAAAAAAAAGAAAAGGGATATAGCCCCAAATGTGAAAACAGGAAAATAACAACTGTAATCCAATCAGTTACTCATAATTTGTACTCTGATTACGCAACTCTGGTACATGTAATCTGTTACTCCCCAACACTCTTTCCATCTAAACCTGCTAGACACTGCAGGATGTTTCAGTCTTTAATGATTTTTAAATGTGCGACAAAAAGCGCAGAACACAGACACGAGGAGAATAGTGTGAGACTTTAAATCTAAGAGCTCAAAGACTGCAGCGGGGTATGTGGCTGAAAAACACCGCACGCTAAAAGTTGTGAGCGTGGATGTAAACAGACACATGTGAAGAACTATTCTCACCTTTTTACTTTTTAAAGAACACTTCAAACTGGATTAATAATACTGTTTTGCAGACTGGGTGTCATTATCTGAGAAGGAAATATTCTAATGGATAATATTAATGAGAATGCTGCAGTTTAACTTCACAGCTTTACAAGAGGTGAGTAATAAAGTCCTTTTAAGTCAAAGTACCAGTCATTCAGTCTATTAGCTGGTGCAGTAGTGTGTTTTGTTAGGATATAACCAAGCCCACGGGCCTAAACATGGCTTCCATTTCAAGTCAATGGGCCGAGCTTAACGGCGCATGTCTTTAGATTAGTCTTTAGCGGCTACATACTTCCAGTGGCTGCAATGCCCATCGACCATGTGCAGGAGCGTGGTCTTGCATGCCACGTGACTGCTCTGAAAAAATCTGAGTGAAAGTAGCTAGAGCGGAGCCAAAGTTAATGATTAAAGAGCATTTTTTAAGACAACGGACGGATTTTGAGCTGAGAAAAAGTTTATGATTTGAAAATAGGTAAAAAATATAGGTA